TATTCTTTATGTGATTTTTTTTTTGTATTAGAATCCAGACATGAATATTACATTGTTGGGTGCTAGATTGTTTTATTATTATTGCTTTTTTATATTTATACAAATTTTTTTTTATTTTTGTTCGGAAATGCAGTTAAGTTACTTGGAGACAATTTGATTATTTTGTGGCTTACTCTTAAACCTTGTTAGAGCTACAGCAGGCAGCTAGGGCTTTAGGGCTATTTTCCCTATTACTGAGACAATATTCTTCTCACTGTTCTACTACCCAGTTCCCTATGAATTATGTGTCTTTTATAATTTTTTTTTTCAGTCCAGCTGATGGAAAAACTAAATGCGCCAAGCTCTGTTAGGTTTCATGCATTTTTTCACATGTGTTTTCTAGTGCTCTTTCACTTGACCTCAAGTACTTGTAATGGTCACATTGAAATCATAGGAAATACTCGGGATTATGGGGTTGGTTAGGGACATTAACAGGTTACAATTTACAATCAGAAATGCTCATGACACAGTTCTTTGGTCGGGGCAACTCCTTCCCAACCCACACTGCAGGTAAGCCTCTTTCTGGCTCCTTGACGTTTGCCCTACTGGAGTCCTGGTGTGGCACTGTGGGTTAATGCGCCAGACTGCAAAGCCATTTGAACTGCAAGGTTGGTGGTTCAAGCTCACCAGATGCTCCTCGGAAACCCTATACAGGGTTGCTATAGGCCAGAACCAACTCGACGGCACATAACAACGCAGTGTTACAAAGATCTTTGGAAACTTCTGTTAAATGAACAAAGGGCATGCCACTCAGTCATAAGCGTCAGCTACAAGGCACTCAGATCTAACTCTGTGGGTCAGCAAACCTCCCAATTAAATGTCTGGAGGCACTCCACTCTGCAAGTGAGCCTCCTATCTGAAGGCCCTCGCTTTGCTCACTCTTTGGTCCAGGAAGGTCCACTGTTGGGAATCGATTGAAACTAGCTAGTGCAGAGTGATAAAGAGAATAATTCTGATAACATTAAAATTAGAATGAAACTCAAATGGTACTAATTAGATTTCTATATTATGTTATTTTAGTTTTTAAAAACTTATGAATTTTACTGGCAATGTCATTGTGAATAACTGTTAGCAAGAGGGCTGATACAGTGGTGTTGAGATAGCAGAGTGAGAATCACCACACCACTTTCCCTGAACAGAAGGCCTAGAGTAAGGAATTGACTGCTGGAAAGAAGAGAAAACATTATCCTAATTCCTGCCAGCTTCTGGATGTATAAAACTTGTATACAGAAATAATGGTTTTCTCACATTTAAAAGAAAGAAACTATCCCAATACTAACACCTCATATGAGTCTAATTGTCAGTAGCTGTGGTGGATTGAAAGGACACCTGGGTACTGTGGGTTAAGCATCACACTGCTGACTGAAAGGTTAGTGGTTTGAACCCACAGGTTGATCCACAGGAGAAAAAATGAGACAGTCCCTAGGGACCAGTTCTACTCTGGCCTGTAGGGTTGCTGTGAGTTGGAATTAACTTGATTCAGTAATTTGGTGATAGTGAGCTAGTATTTTTCCTGTTTATTCACACCTTCCTCTTTCCACATCTTCTAGTAGTCGTCTCCCACTTTGGCCATGTGCCTTGATTTGGCCAATGGGACATTAGCAAACATGATAAAAGCAGAGACTTAAAAATTGCTTGCCCCTTGGGGTTTGCTTTCTTTCTCTTCTTGGAACCACACTGTCTCCATGTGTATAAACTTGAGCTACACTGGTGTTGTGCTATAGGATAAGCACTGGACTGCAAGGTTGGTTTGAACTACAAGGCCGATGGTTCAAATCCAGCAACTGCTTCTACTCAGAAACTCAGAAATCCTACACAACAACAACTTTTCAGTTACTAATAACTTTTCAGATCACATTAAGGAGAAACTTTGCTCCCCAGTTGGCTCCAAAGTTAACCCTTGCTGAGTCCTGACTGAGATCAGTTTACCAGGTCCAGATCAGCTGAACCTAGCTAAATTTGTATGTCACCAGAATTGTGAGTTAAATACTTGATTGTCATTGTACACAACTATATTTTGGGGTGATTCATTATGCACAAATTATGAGATACACTCTCCCAGCTGATATGACTCTAGGTAGTAAAGGTTCTCCTTGCGTCCTAGCTTTAGCAGAAGTAATGCTGGATTTCGATGGAGGAGAGAAGGGCAATTGAATTTCAGATTTTGAGTTAGCAAATTGTTCCTAAAGCATGTGGTAACCTTTGTTCAGATTGACTTCTTAAAATGATGACGAAATTGGATTAGTAATTATGTTTGCAATTTACTGTGATTCATTTTTTCTAAAAAAAGTATTCCTTCCCCGATAGCCCATTGAATTCATGTTAGTAGCAATTAACACATTCCCTAAGTCTTTTCTAAAACTGTCTGAATGAAAGCTGTTTTCTATTGAATGTTAAACATGATATGTTCTGTTGTTGTTAAATTCCTGTTAGTTGGTTCCAACCCATATCAACCCTGTATAGGATTTCCAAGAAACAGTTGGTGAGCTTGAATGGCCGACATTGCTGTTCAAAGCAATTTTGCATTCCCAGCGCATTAACCCACAGTGCCATACTAAAATTTTATTCTTTTTTGTATATTTTAACTGAATGCTGGGTAGAAACACCTTGCATTCATTCAAGATAGCATTCATTAGAACTATCTTCCTCTCTCACTCTTATCCTGATCCAGCCATCAAATATAGTTGTTCTGCTTTAAAACTTCTCTTCAGCTATTCCACATTGATGACATTTAAAACATCTAAATCTGGTATTGCTATTTCCCTACTGTGATTTCTAATGCAAAACCAATTTGGTCATTGTTACGGGCTTTAGTTTCACATCTTCATACATCGTTCTTCGTTTCTTACCTTCTGAACAGTACTCTGAATTGTCCAATCATGAGATTTGGGAGGTACCAACCCTCTTCTTGGCTTTGAGTATGAGCTTTGATTGGCTTAGGCAAATTAGTGTGTCTACAAATCCTTGCCACATTGAATGACTTAGGGATGGGTGCTGGTGCCAAGTCAAGGTAGTTAGGGCCAGAAGAAATCAAGTCCGTGAATTTTTGAGTCATTGGGGAAGCAACTTGCCTTTTATTCTCTTGTTGTTGTTATGTGCCGTGGAGTCGGTTCCATCCCATAGCAACCCTGTACAGGGTTTCCAAGGCTGTAAAGCTTTATAGGAGCAGAAAGTCTCATATTTCTCCCATGGAACTGCTGACCATGAGATTAGCAGTCTGATTCATAACCACTATGCTACCAGAGCTCCTTCTTATTCTCTACTAGACATAAATTAAGAATGTAATCATGAAGCAAGGTCACAAAAAAGGAATTAACCTGAGGAATGGCGATCTGAAAGGAGAGAGGAAATCTGGGTACTGGAACATTGCCTCAACTCCAAATATGTACAACTTCATCTTTATTAATATTTAGCCTGGACTATTCTTTTAGATCCCTGAGTAGTACAGTTAACATGTTTGACCGCTAACCAGAAGTTGGTGGTTAGACTTCACCGAGAAGCACTAAGAAGAAAGGTCTGGTGTTTCCCTAAAATCAGTCATTGAAAACTTTATGGAACACAGTTCCTTTCTGATGTATGTGGGATCATCACGAGTTAGAGTTGACTTGAGGGCAACTGGTGGCTTATTCCTTTAGTTGAAATAGTGTTTCCTCCTCTCTCTCTTTCTCTTCCTTCCTCTTCCTAATTTTTTCAAGTAACTGTTTTAGATTAAAGCATCCCAAGTAATCAGTGATTTTAATGGCTTGAACTTAGTCACTTTTACACATTTTAGTGATACCTGTTATTATATTCTCCAATTTACACTAAATAATATATAAAAATTTTCTTCAAAGCAACTGAAATAAGTGCTAAGAAGACATGGCAGATATGTGCTAAACAGGGAAACCTAATATAGTCAGATGGAGACCCTGGGGGGCAAAAAGGGTTAAGTGCTCAATTACTAACGGAAAGGTTGGAGGTTCAAATCCCTCTAGAATTGCCTTGGAAGTAAGGCCTGGCAATCTGCTTCCAAAAAGTCACAACCTTGAAAACCGTATGGAGCAATTCTACTTTTAACAGCATACATGGGTAACCGTTAGCAGAAATCAACTGGATGACAACTAATAACAATCTACCGTGGGTTTGGGGGATGGCTTCTCTGAAGAAGAAATACTTCAGCTAAAACCGTATGGCCTGGAGGCACCAGCTTGCTTTCATCCCTTGTTATTTGCTGTTTGAGACTTCAGTGACTATTTTGCTTTGCTGGAGCAAACACACTGGTCTTCAGCTGCACATAGAAGGCAGGCAGTACCATCACTCCTTTCTCCAGTAGCTTCCTTTTATGGATACACTTTCTTCCTGGGGGATAATTCATCACCAAAGACCTCACCAGGACTCTAAAGGCCTCAATAGGACACCTCTTTAAATACACTGAGGAGCAATATGGTGCTTTCATGAAGGAATCATCTGCCAGCTAGTCCCAGAAAAAGGGGGTTGCCCTTTTCTCAACTTTGGCAGAACACAACTTCATATCTAGCCACTCTAACAAAAGATGGGAAGTTTAAAATAGAAATTTCAGCAAACAGCACCACTTTTAGCAAGTAGCAGTTAACATCACCCAGTGCTGAATACAAATATGACTTCATTCTGGGAGTGTTTGTGAATGTGTTAGATTTGGAGGGCTTCTGTGTAAATTACATTCTAAATTTAAATGTTCAGGGAACATAGATTGGGCTGTTCTGGGGGATTTGCTACAGAGATAGCCAAATCTGAGTGATGGCTTCTACTCTGCTAAGTAGGACCGAGGCCTTTCACTTACAAATCCAAAAGGATTTTTATTTCAGAATTTTTTTTTTTTTGCTTTTCAAAGTTTTTTTTTGGGGGGGGCTGAAACATTTTAATCTGATGGAAACACATAACACTGTACAAGGAGGTCTCAAGTTTCTCTGCAGATTATAAGAAAGACCCCAGAAATCACTAGGTTAGCCTTTGGAAGAGAAGCGAGGCAAAGCGGGAAAGTTCTGTGGTCTGCCTTCCTGTCCCTCGTAGATCCAGTCCTGAGCAGAGCTCTTGTAATTTACTAGTTCCTCAGGGAGAAACCACAAGCCAATCTCTTTCTCCGCACTCTCCACAGAATCACTGCCATGGATAATATTCCTGCCAACTTGAATACAAAAGTCCTCACGGATGGTCCCAGGCTTGGAGTCCACAGGATTGGTCTCCCCAAGCATCACTCGGCCAGTCTTTACCACATTCAGTCCCTCCCAGACCATGGCAACCACTGGCCCTGAGTGCATGTATTTCACCAGGCTGGCATAGAATGGACGGTCCTTCAGGTCAATGTGGTGTTCCTTAAGAAAGTTTTCAGATGCCCGCATGAATTTCAAACCGACAAGGTGGAATCCCTTCTGTTCAAAACGTTTGATGATGTCTCCTACAAGGCCTTGCTGGACCCCATCAGGAGTGATGGCGATGAAGGTGAACTCACTGTTGGCCATGGTCCCTTCTAGCTGCTTGGGTTTTAATTCCCCAAAGTATTTTTGCAATTTCTTTCCAGTCATTCAATGAAATAGCTCTAAATGATAGAAGATACACTGTTTACTCTAATTAATTTCTATTAATATTGGAGAAACTAGTGCTGAGGTTTCTGAGTTTTATGAAGTTTCTATCTTGTCATAGTTTTATTGTAAATATTTGCCTGAATATTTATATCCACTCTTTCAAGATAATACTGTAAGCATAATGATTAAAGTGACCCACATTGTTATTGTTGTTATTGTTAAGTGCGATCGAATCAGTGCTGACTCATAGTGACACTTTATAGGGTTTCCCAGGATCCTTTGGAGAGCTTGAACCCTTTGCCTTGCAGTTCAAACTGACCTTGTAGTCCAGAGCATTAATCTGCAGCACCACACCTGACTCGTAATGACCTCATGCATGATGGAACAGAAAGTGCCTGGTCCTGCAATATCCCCACTGGTGATTGTGGATTGAACTGTTATGAGTCACAGGTTTTTCACTGTGGCTGGTTTTTGGAAATAGATCACTAGATCTTTCTTCCTAGTCTGCCTTAGTCTAAAAGCTTCACTAAAATCCATTTAGCATCATAACAAAACACAAGCTTCCAAGGATATACAGGTGGTGCTTTGGTCAGGAATGGAACTTGGCCTCCTGAATGAAAGGTGTGAATTCACTCAGCCACCTAAGGTGACATGAATACAGTTGATGGTGGGTATGAAGTATTTCTTGGAGTCCTCAGGGAATAGGAAGAACTGCTTTTCTGTGGGTCACTTACTTAAAAGAATATATTCATTTATTCAACTTATGAAAATGTTTCAGCAAACGTATTATCAGATGCTTAATAACAGTGCATTGCATAATAGGAAGGAATTTTTGCTCTTATTTTTCTTTCTAGGTTGGATATTTTTAATTGGGATAAGTAAGGAAAGCTTGTTACTCACTTTGACTCCTTGAGAAGACAATGTGGTCGCTATGGGTTGGAATCGACTCAATGGAACTTAACAACAAATATCTCTTGAAATTGTGTCTTAAGTACATAGAGAAGTTCCTCTTTCTCACCTGTGAAATTGGTTGTGGTGGTGATTGGACCCTGGAGTCAGTTCCGACTCAAAGCGACACTATGTGGGTTTCTGAGGCTTTAAATCTCTACAGGATCAGAAAGCCTCATCTTTCTCCTGCGGAGCAATTTGTAGATTGGAAACTGCTGACCTTGTGTTTAGCAGCCCAACAAGTAATCCACTACCCTAACAGGGCTCCTTGCCTGTTGTTATATTGTTGTTGTTAAGTGCCGTCGAGTCGCTTCCGACCCATAGCGACCCTGAACGGGGTTCCCGAGGCTGTAAACCTTTACGCGAGCAGAAAGCCTCATCTTTCTCCTGCAGAGCAGCTGGTAGTTTGGAACCGCTGACTTGGAGGTTCACAGACCGATTCGTAACCACTATGCTACCAGAGCTCCTTGTTGTTAAATTGTTGTTGTTGCTGTTGTTATGTGCCATGGAGTAGATAGGTTCCCACTCATAGCAACCCTGTACAGGGTTTCCGAGGCTGTAAATCTTTACGGGAGCAGAAAGCCTCATCTTTCTCCAGCGGAACAGCTGGTAGTTTCGAACTGCTGACTTTGCGGTCCACAGGCCGATTTATAACCACTACGCTACCAGGGCAGAGCAAATTCTAACTTTTCTGTAGGGATTATGTAAGGATCCCTGGTTAGTTTAGTGGGTTTACGCTTTGGGCTGCTAACCGAGAGGTCAGCAGTCCAAATCTACCAGCTGCTTCTTGGGAAAAAGATAAGGTTTTCTACTCCCATTAAGATTTACAGCCTCAGAAACCCTCTAATCATTATGAGTCAGAACAAACTTGATAGCATGCAGCACAGCACACATAGTGGGGTAATGTCTGATTTGACAAGGAGCTTTTCTAGGGTAGTGAGAATTAGATGTAAACAAAATTCACAACTGGCTTCCTGTAATTCAAGAAAATTCAAATTTTATTTTGGAATTTTTGTTTTGAAAAAAATTCATGCATTTTTTAACGGAGCCAGAATTTTATGAATCAGGGTTAGTCTGAGTCCATGGTTACTGGCAGGAGTTTTTGAGCGAAGTCTGAAGAGTCTAGTGACTTGTCTGTTTTACTGATAGTCAGGGCTGTTAATTTTAACTCATTTTGGTAGGTGTTTAAAGCACCTTGAATAAACAAGTTAGTACATGAATAAATGAATTAAAGAGTGAATAGCAAAACTGCAAATCTAATTATAGAAGATTTTGGCACCTATTTCATTATTATAAAATTATGAAAAGTGCTAATAGAATTTCAATCAGTCAAAGCTTTTAATATCTGCTTTAATAAATAAATTAGGAAACAAAAACATAACTTTCACAGTTTATAGTTATAGGTTGGTATTTAACAAAATAAACTATTGAAGTGCTTACAAATGGTTTCTATTCTTTAGAAGGTCAAATCTACACAATTTATTTAGCACATAAGCATGTTTATTCCTATAAAACATACAAAGCTTGCTATGTTATGATGGTCATGGATCACATTGCTGATTTTAAATTTTTGTAAGTTACTATTGTATTTGAAAATTCTGATAAATGCATGGGGTGGGAAAGATTATCCTCTTTAAAAAATTTAGAACATATATGTACAGACATTCTGAAAGTTACCTGGTTCATCTGTCATAGTCTAGCCAAGCCTGGAATCCAGAACCTCCAAGTTTTAAGAATAATGGACATCTAAGGAGCTCTGGTACAGGCAGTCATTCAAACAGAACAAGGGGATACTAAATGGAAATCAGAAAAGGTGTGTGTCAGGAATACATCCTATTCAACATACCTGTTCAATCTCTATGCTGAGCAAATAATCTGAGAAGCTAAATCATATGAAGAAGAGCGTTGCTTTAGGATTGGAGGACAGCATAGTAATGAACTGGGATATGCAGATGATACAACTGTGCTTGCTGAAAGTGAAGAGGACTTGAAATACATTTAATGAAGATCAAATAATATAGCCTTCAGTATCAATTGCACGTCAGTATAAAGAAAATAAAAAACCCTCACAACTGGATCAATAAACAGCATAATGATAAATGGAGAAAAGATACAAGTTGTCAAGGATTTAATTTTGCTTGCATCCATAATCAACACTCATAGAAACAATGCCAAGAAGCAAAATAATACATCAGGTAAATATGCAACAAAGACTGCTTTAAAGTATAAAAGAGCAAAGATATCTCTTTGAGGACTAAAGTGCACCTGACTCAAGCCAAGGTATTTTCTTTGGAAGCTCACCAGCCACTCCTCAAAATCCCTATACAGGGTCACTGTGGGTTGGAACAGACTCAACAACACTTAACTACAACAGCAACAACAACATGCATATGAAAACTGAGTAAGGAGGACTGTAAAAAAAAATGTTACATTTGAGTTCTGATGTTGTTTTGAATACTGATATTACAATGGACAGGTAACCATCTCTCTGGTATTTTCAGCTTTCAGCCAAGATCCATCTGATGTCAGCAATGATAACTAGTTTCGCATCCTCTTTTGAACCCAGCTTGAGTTTCTGGCAGTTCCCTACTGATGTACTGTTGCAATCTTAATATAATTTCTGTTAAAATTTTGCTACTTTCAATGAAAAGAGTCTTGTCTAATCATTTAGTTTAGTCAACTAGTTGTTATCCCTAGTATTTTGCATATAAATGATAGATTTATAACATCTCAAACAATGTGAAATTCTTATAGTATGCTTGTTGTTAAGTGCCATCGAGTGAGTTCCGAATCATAGCGACCCTGTATAGATAGGGTTTCCAAGGAGCGACTGGTGGGTTTGAACTGTCAGCCTTGCTTTTCAAACCAACCTTTTGGTCCAGTGCTTACCCTACAGTGCCATACCAGAACTGCTTAATATTGAGGAAATTAACATCCAATATTTTCCAAATGGGAACTTCACCCAATAACTATGAATTACCATACCATGAAGGAGCTCTGGTAGTGTAGTGGTTACGAATCGGGCTGCTAGCTGCAAGGTCAGCAGTTCAAAACTACCAGCTGCTCCGCAGGAGAAAGATAAGGCTTTCTGTTTCTGGGAAGATTTACAGTCGGAACCGACTCCACGGCACATAACAACAACAACAAACCATACCTTGATTTCAAATTAAACCTGGGCATTGAAAAAGAGATATAACGTTGTTTCAATTATTTCTGATCTGTGATCTAACTGAGACATTCTAATTTAAGGAAAAATAAACAGTAGAAATAATTTATCTAATAGTCAGACTAGGCATTTAGTAGCTAGTCCTTCACCTTAACAAAGCCCCTGGAGGCTATACTGCAGTGGAATTGTATCATACTCAATAGATGCTGTCTTCACTGTGGACGAACTGTAAACTTGTCAATGCAGACACTCTGTTTATGAGAGTTTTCCCTTTAGGTCCACAGACACATGATATGTATATCATCAAAAGAGGAGGGAACAGAGATGATGGGAACATAAAACATTGGCAGAGCTGCAAAGACAATGAAACTTCTTTTTGACACATATTGTACAACATTTCCAAAGTCTTGGGAATATTTTTGGTATATTTTAACTGCCAAATGATTTTTTTAAATGTGTAACTCTTCTTTTTTCTTTATCAGTGACAATACATGTCTGAACTGACAGTATTCTACACACCTATAGCTTTAATTACATGTCTGAGATGTTTCCATCAGTCTGCTTGCACCAGACCTATTTTCATGTTGGCTTTAAAACTCTTTTAAAATAACATTAAAAGATGACATGTTAAGTCCTATTTAGCTTTCTGGAGTTAGTTAATTGAACATATTGAACTTTCTTAGGGCAAAATGCTTTTGTACTTGATATCAGCATTACTTTCTTAATTCTTTCTCTAGCTGTAAATATGAGACTTGACCATCACCCTCTTGATTCTTCACCTAATTATAAATAGGAGACAAATTAGAGTGTAGTCAAAAGGACCACATTTTACAAAGCTATG